TTTTCGACGGAACTCCTGCGGCCCTTGATGGAACATTGGAAGCAGGAGATGAACTCCTGAGTGTCAATGGAAAGACGGTGAAAGGAGCCACTAAGGTGGAAGTTGCCAAGATGATCCAGTCAATTAAGGAGGAGGTGACGGTCGGTTACAATAAACTGCACGCAGATCCAAAGCAGGGAAAAAGCCTGGACATTGTCCTCAAAAAGTTGAAACACAAAATGGTCGATGGGATGAGCTCTACGACGGCCGATGCTCTGGGACTTTCTAGAGCTATTTTGTGCAATGGTGAGAATAGAATAAATGAAAAAATATAAAAATGTTTTAATTTTTACCTTTTTGAAACTCTCACAATACACTTTCTCAATTAGACAGTCTGATAAAAAAGCTTCAAGAGCTAGACCGCAACGAGTACATCCTCAAAGGACTGGTCAGCCATATCAACTTTACCATCAAGGCGTACGTTGAGATGACGCAGACGTATAAAGGTAATTATTTAATTAAAAAATTTAAAATGTAGTTTTAGTAGAATGAAATAAGCTTTTAATGAAACTGGGCTGCTCAACGGAAAAAAATTAACAATTTATTTAGATTTCAGCGACGTCTTTGCAGAGATTGGCGCCCACGAACCGCAAACTGAAGCGAGCAAGGCGTTCACGCAGTTCAGCGAAACGCATCGTCACTTTGAAAAGGAAGGTCAAACGCTGACCGCAGAATTGAAACCGGTAAGAGAAATAAAAGTGTAATGAAAAAAATAAAAAATAGTTTAAGTTGTGGTTAACCTGTTTAGAAAAAATGAAAATCCTAAATCCTAATTTAAAAACTTTTTAATTAAAGATTCTCGGTGATTTAAACACCTACCTAAACAAGGCAATACCTGACACACGACTGACTATTAAAAAGTACGCCGATCAGAAATTTGAGTATTTGGTAAGTAATAAAATAAAAAAGTAATTAGCACAAACATAGCCTAAAAGTTTAAAGCTTAATTCTCTAAATAAAAACTTCTTTTTGTCACCCTACCATCCCCAGTCCTACTGCCTAAAAGTGAAAGAGATGGACGACGAGGAGTACACCTACACGGCCCTCTCTGAGCCGCTGTACCGCGTGGAAACGGGCAACTACGAGTACCGACTGGTGCTTCGATGTCGCCAGGAGGCTCGGAAACGCTTTGCCGCCCTCCGATCTGACGTCCTTGTAAAGATGGAACTCCTCGATCAGAAGCACGTCCAAAACGTGGCCACGCAGGTGATTCGAGTCATTGCGGCGTTGGGCAAGTTCAACACCACCTGTGCGGGCCACCTCGACAGCGGCAGCCTCGCCTTTCCCATTGAGCTGGACCTCTCCAAGACGAGCTGCCTGCGGCTGCCGGAAACGGCTGCTGAGGATGGAGAGCAGTACCTGTCTACCTCGCCGGAAATGGCAATGGGAAACAAAAACAACAACAAAGGTTTTGGAGTTTATCGAGATGATGTTGAGGGTGAAGATGATGATGATGATGAAGTTGATCCAGAGCTGGCTGATGAAGCCACCTCACTGCTGACCGCCAAGGAACGAGCTGAGGCAAATGGACTGCTGGAAAGAAGTGCCGGTGGCAGTTATTTTACCGCTGATGATCAACAGGTGGTTGAGGGAAAAATTACTACTACTGCTGCCAATAAGGAACAGAATGGAAAAGGTCCTGTCAGTCTGATTGACATTTTTGGCGAGTTGGAGCTGAAGAGTGAAAAAGAGGAAAATGATGATGATGATGAGGGTAAGAAGAAAAGCAATAAGAAAGATGATAGTTTGCTGATGTTTTGAAATAGAGAATTTGAGTAAACAAATTTTTGGTTAGTTTGTAAATGTGGTTTTAAGTAAAAACAAAATGCATGTTGTAAATAAAANAGTAAACAAATTTTTGGTTAGTTTGTAAATGTGGTTTTAAGTAAAAACAAAATGCATGTTGTAAATAAAAATTATTAAAAAAGTTAGTATAAAGTGTACCATTTAAAAATTGTAGTTGTGAAGATAAAAAGTGTTTCATATTTGCAAACAAAACTACAAAAAACTATAAAAAATTAATTTAAAAGTTAACCAATTTTAATCTGATGCTCCAGGACTGTCCGAGAAACTCAACACAACAAATAAAAAAATAATTAAATAAGTAAAAAAACCTTTTGAAAAACACAAAATGCGTTTCCACAAAAATAAGAAAACGGAAAGCAATTTAATCAGAAAACAACAACAACAATTTTCAACACTCTATTCGAAGACTAAAAACTCATTCTTTTTGCTCTACAAAAAAAGCTATTGATCACAAATTTATCATCTCAACACCATCACCAATTTGTCTAGTCATCGCGAATGCAGAGCTCCGTCTTCTGGTCCCACTTGGTGCCGATGCCGCAGGGCATCACCTGCACCCACC